CTTGGAGGGCCTCTTCACGAGTAAATCAGACATCTGGTAAGTCGAGTAGTCTAATTAGTTGTCTGCTTATTTTAACAAAAACACCCCAAAGTGGTGTGCAATACTTGTAGAGCGTTCGGACATCGAAACTCGAACGAAAAATGATGTGTAAACATTCGTTAATTCATTAAACTCATTTCCTACCTGCAAAAGGCCGTTCGCATCCAATAACCACCATGGGTTAATCAGTATACAGCTGATTTCAAATAATGGCAGTAAGCTCAGCTAAAGCATTCAGATATCCGTCAAATCGGCTTGTATGACTTATGATTGACTTATTTTTTTGGTAAGATGAGGTGTAAAAGGAATAAACGGACTTGTAGCATAAATAGAACTTGTCGTTTGCTGTGATACGGTCAACAATGTTAAGCGTACGCCAGAAGTAGGGGTTCCTTTTGTAAAAAAAAACTAACAGAATTTATATTATTGCATTTTTTTGCACAGACGCATAAATGCCAGCTATTTTTACTTTGCAAAAACAGCACATTCTGGAGCGACAGTGGGTTAGGTGTCAAAATAACCTTATTACTTGGCACAGAAATAAAATATCAGTTTCTACAGGTCCCTTTTTATTGGCGTCGATCAATGTTAGTAGCCCATCGACGATAACACTGACGTTTTCGAAGCAAATGTCTTGTGGTTGTGGTAACCAGGCCTTGCCAAAAGAGACCTTTAAGAAACCCCGAAAAATATCCAGGAAGCTGAGGGCACTCCGGTTATGTAAGGGGACCTATGGGAATGTTTTCACACCAAAGTCATAAACTCAAATAAATGATCTACCGCAGCAATGATTATTCTGATTGGGTGAATATTATAGGTGCAGGTTCGTTGTACATTAGACAACACGAGCATCCGAAGAGAGTAGCTTTGGGGCCGAATCGCCTCGGTTATGGTGGCAGTGAATTAAACTTTTGCAGATTGTTTGCTACACGTTTTTTGGACCACCCAAATGAAGTGCCAATTATGGACGCCAGAAACGCGAATCACAAAGAGAGGAGGCAAAATGTGCCAGCGATGTTGGATGTCAGTTTTCGGCAGATTGTGCGCGTTGTTTGGACACAAAACACATGTGCGTAATACGCAAAACGGAAGCAGAAATGCTACCAAAAATGCGTAAAAATGACGCTACTGTGTAGTAGGTGCGCAGACCAGTCGATTTCGTGACTTCATTATCAAACTCTGATACCTTACGCAAGCATATCAACTGGCGTACATTCATGGAACGGTTTGATTGCACATGAGTAGTTACCCAGGCACATGACGCGGAACAGGTCTTGTGAAGCGTCCCGAACGATCACAGCGACGAATTTCACACGTCAGGATTTACTCTAAATAGCGTCATGAGCCAAAGACACGAGCCCAAGGCAAGATATGCGCACAACCGGCCAGCCTGCAATCAACACCAAACAGAAATGTGCAGTTTAAAGTTCCTATATTGTGTTCCTGTTGGCGTTTTATCGATTTACTTTCCGCAATGATGACACTTGGTCCTCGATACTTGTTTAAATCAATTTGGAGCGGCAGAAAATTAGCGTAAATTTTCCAACAGGGAAAACATCTGATCATACGTTGTGCGAAGACATTGTAGGTACATGTGCAGAATATTACCGGTGTAAGTATTTGCTCACGAAAAAAAGCCTAATGAGTTTTGGCCGGTTGTCGAATACATGTTATCAAAATTGGTCGTCGCTGCTTCCGTGCAATCGTCAAGAAAATCTTCCGTATACGTAGCCTCAAAATAACATAGTTTTTTGATTTCATGAATATTGTACTTGCACAAGCCATTCCTATAAATGTTTTTTTTTCAAAAGTTCTTCCTTTTCCTGCATTTTAAAATATAGTGGGCAGTTTTTGGCTTTCTGCACATTCAAGATTAACTCTTTGAGCGTTTTCCCAGTGAGTTGGGCTGATTAAGTGCCTCAAGCGATCCCAAACACGAAACACTAGTTAAATATTTAAAAGGCGACGAAATCGCGGCTTCTTGAAGTGAAATACTTCTTCTTGACAATTTGCGTCAGACTAAAGCGAGCGCCTATTTCCTTCTTACCACTCTTGTGGAAAAATAAGCGGTTTCCGTGCTCGTCTTGCGAATAAACAAAAAACACATGGCTAAATTAACAAAAAGAATTCGCGTCTTTCGTGTTGGTCGGTTCCTCGTGCTAAATGGAGAAAGTGGTTTAGACCAGGTAACATCACTGCGTTGGATTCCAGCCGGTTAAGTTTCTTTGCCATTTTTCCATTGGTTGGTTGTTCACACAATGGGTGGTAATAGTTAAATGAAGAAACCATCATTGGCTCCTCTGACAGACATTTCATTTCGAAATGTGGCCTGTTTCATTGTCGTCCTAAATATCAAGGCCCAAATTTTGAGGTGTTCCTGCTGAATGCATTATGTTTTCTTTTGTGGTTATACTATACCTTAAAACGATTCTATTTGATTGGATTAGTAATTTAGATTAAATTAGAACCGTTGTCCAAAGTGCATTATGGTCATTCCATGTGGGCAGCTGTTAATTTGGACATTAATCGAGATATCAGCTAACATTCAATGTTTCTAATATAGTGTTAAAGAAGGATTGTATACCACGTCGTCAAGACTATTTTAACAAGTTATTTTTTCCCAGAATGGTCATAGCCGTCTTTAAATCTAGCTATTTAGTTGATATTCATCAGACCGTACTAGTTAATATCATCAACTTGGATTGTACAGAGCAGTGCAAAATCCGATCTAACGCCATGCTCTTGATAGTTAGCAATTAATAGCAGGTTAAGTTATACAAAATGCCTTTCGGGGACCACGTTGTCCAGTCAACACGTCAACCTGGACGAAGACCTCCAGACATTTATCGAGATCGTAACAATGAAGAAGGTTTATTTCCAATCGTATTCCTATTCGACACGAACTGAACGACTAAACTGAACAAACTGATTTGGAACCTGTTCCTAGTATTTATGTTTGAGCGCGATGAGTGAGTAACGGTCAATCGATCGAATATCGTTGCACGGAAATCAATAATCAGACTTGAGCACTGTTCGCTGGTTGCTTAATTTACCAACTTTCTTGAGGATTAAAATCTTCAAAAGCCATCAACAGATATCCTTAGAGCATAAAATGTTACCATGATGAAATGATTGCCAATGGTTATTGATTTTCTTGCAAACGAGACGATAGATGAATCGCATGGAAAGAACCAATCAAAAAAATCACAAAAATGAACGAAATTCTTACGCACACCAATTATTGATCCTGGGTAGGTGTCAATGTCGAAATGAGTAGTGTCATTGTAGATTGTCCTTCTGCTGTAAAAGAAAGACGTAAACACACAACTTGTAAACGTGGCGGATCACGATAATAGCTAAAGCCTTCTCAGTATGCTACATTCTGTCGAGGCCACTCAGCAGCCCAACCAACATAACCAAAGACGTTAATCGAATAAAAA